TCCTCTTATCCATGTAATTGAACAATCCAGAACATGATGTAAGTGCTGGTGTTATATCTCACACTCTGAGCATATCTTATATCTGGGCAGTGCAATATATACAATGAGGTCTGATGAGTTTATGGACATAGTGTGATCATCTTATCTCAACCTGATCACTGCTTGTGGAAACCATTTTGGAAAAAGAAACAGGTATTCCATTTTTCTAATTCTATGTTTAAACAACATGAAAGCCGTTATTGGCTGTACAGTGGGGGGGCTAGAGCTAGAGATCTTGTAAAGGTTAAGACAATTGTAGACCAAAAAGGGGTGCTGAGTTATGGAGCCAGTTCTTCCTTCTCTCCGTATATGGTACTAAGCCAATAAGTCCATCTCAGCTGCTTACATGAGCCTCTTAATCCATGTAGACTGGAGCTGGTGGCACCTGGGTCTGCAAAAACGTGGGTTACTAAGACAGGATGCAGGAGGGAAGTCTGTAGCATGACTGGCTACAACCCATGCCCTAAGTAAGAATGCAGAGAGCAGGCATACCAGACATAGTCTAGAAAGGATTGCATTCCTTACCTAAGATATCTGCCGTTGTTTAGACACAAACTAAGAACTAATAATGCATTCCATTCAGTTTTATGTGCAGACTTCCTTTCAAATTGTTCCAGGAATGCGTTTAAGCAAACTATATACATTAATTACAGTATAAAAATAACTGCACTCCCTCCAGGAAAATGCAGTACAAAATAGTTCTAAGATGTTTATTAACTTCTCTGTAGCTGAAACACGAAAGACTACATGCACAGCCAGCTTTCTTTGCTCTCTTGTTGTTGACTTGAAGTTGGAGCACTGTAGATTCTCAATAGAACATGCACATTGTATCTGGCACTTTCTCTAACAGATCACAAACACAAAACACATTGAGTCTTTCACTATTTTTATAACTTGTTGGGGTTAAAGATGTGCTATTCCTAAAAAATATATTATTTAATAAGCGTCGTTAAAATGCGGTTTGATATTCACCTCCCCTCCACCCCACTTCCCGACCAAAACTGTCTGAATATGTCAAAAGCTCCCATACTGGATTCCCTCTTAACGTGGGTGTTGTTTTCAACCCTCCTCTCTTATATGCATGATTCCACCAGAAAACATCCCAATCGCAGTGATGGTGGTCATTGTCATTCTTCCAACAATCTGTTTTGTATTTTGCTATTTCAATAATAAAAAATGAACTAACTTGGGATCTTTATGTGTTTAGGAAAACTGGGTGGGGGAAGAGTGGGAAGAGAGCAAGACTGTATTATTATAATAATAATTATCATTATACTAATTAATAATTATTATTATTATAATTAGTATTATTATGACTCAGTCAATCAGCCAATTGCCGTGCTCAATTAAGCTGCTGTGTTCGACTACAAATACACAATGACTTTACTTCACACAGCGAATTGTTCAGATCTGGAATGCATTGCCTGAAAGAGTGGTGGAAGCTGATTCGATAACAACTTTTAAGAGAGAAGTAGATAATTACTTTGGGACGACAAGTTTGCAGAGCTATGGGGAGAAAGCAGGAGAGTGGGATTGATTTGGATAGCTCTTTTCAAAGAGCCGGCACAGGCAAGATGGGCCGCATGACCTCCTTCTGTGCTGTATAATTCTATGATTCTATGATACTTCACAGTAAATCCTGTGAAGCACTTGAAGATGTCCTCCTGACATGAAAGGCAAAAAAACAGATGCAAAGAATATTTTAATCATTGCAATGATTAAACATGTTAAAAAGTCAAATGATGAATTCAGATGGTGTCATTTGGATTCACTTCTAATATACTGTGATGTGAAAGGCTTTGGCTAAGACTGGATCTTATTAAAATGTGCACTATTTTCTGATACAGAAGACCCATGTGTTAAATCAAGCAGTTTCATGAGGCTTTTAGCCCTTATAAGCCTCTCCCCCCCAACATGCCCCAGTTCTGACGAGGGTCATGGACCCGAAACCTTGACTCACTTTCCTTTCTCCATGGATGCTGCCTGACCTGCACAGTGTTCCCAGTGACTTCTGTTTTTGTTTCATGAATGATCCCAACATTTAATTGCACATAGCTCCAGTGGGCTTGAGACTGCATTCCCGTTAATGGCCAGCGCATGAATCTGTCCGCTACTTGTGATGGCTTTAAGCACTTGTCATCTTGCTGCCAGGTGGAAAGCCCCAGACTGCAGCTGCACCCTGCTCCCACAAGTGCCTCCTCCCAATTGGTGAGCTTTGAAACACTTTTAGTTTTTGGAGGTTGTGAAGGAGCCAGTACTCTGTTTCTCTTTTGTCGCAGTGGAGGAGGTTGCAAAAGGACCATTTGGCCATGTAAAGGTAGCCATGTACCTCTGAGACCAGTTGCATTGAATGACACTGCAATCTTTTTCTTCCCCAAACACTATACGTTGGATTACAACAATTTGGTGTCTAATTTGTAGGATTTCTTATTGCGCTTCCTCAATATGGAACCTTATTCGAATTCCCATTGATTCTGGGAACTTGAGATTTTGACCATAGAATCATAGAATCGTACAGCACAAAAAGAAGCCATTCAGCCCATCAAGTCTGTGCTGGCTCTTTGAAAAGAGCAATGTAACATCAATCCTACTCCCTAGCCTTTTCCCCATAACCTTGCAGACCCGTCCTCCTCAAATACCCGTCCACTGCGTTTTTAAAAGTTGTTATCGAATTGGCTTCCACCACCCTTTCAGGCAATGCGTTCCAGATTCGAACAACTTGCTGCATGAAGAAATTTCTTCTCACCTCCCCTTTGCTTCATTTAGAGACTATTTTAAATCTGTGACCTCGAGTCACTGACACACCCACCAGTGGAAACAGTTTTTCCCTTTCTAACCCAGGGTTCTAATCAAATCCCCTCATGATTTTGAAGACCTCTATTAGATTTCCTCATAAGCTTCTCTGCTCCAATGAGAATAATCCCAGCCTCTCTAACCTTTCCTCATAATCAAGGTCCCTTTTTCCTGGTACCATCCTTGTAAATCTCCTCTGCACTCTTTCCAATGCTTTAACATCCTTCCTATAGTATGGTGCCCAGAACTGGGCGCAGTATTCTATTTGAGGCCTAACCAGTGTTTTATATAGGTTAATCATAACCTCCTGACTCTTGTACTCTATGCCCTTACTTATGAAGCCTAGTATCCCATATGCCCTTTTGACAGCTTTATCTACCTGTCCTGCCATCTTCAAGGATTCATTCACGTGAACCCCCAGGTCTCTCTGTTCTTTCACCCCCCTTAAGATTGTATTACGTAGTCTATATTGCCTTCCCTCATTCTTTCTACCAAAATGCATTATCTCACATTTCTCCACATTGAAATTCATCTGCCATGAGAACATTTTACAATTCTGTCTACGTCTTCCTACAGTTGGCTACTATCCTTCTCACTGTTTACCACGTCCGCAAACTTAGAAATGGTACTTGCTATACCCAAGTCCAGATCATTTATGTATATTAAGAAGAGCAGTGGTCCTCATACCGATCCATGGGCGATGCCACTGTACACTTCCCTCCAGTCAGAAAAGCAGTTTGAAGGAAATTTTCTGTGGATCATCGTGACATATTCATTTGCTCATTTGCATGATTTAGATTTCTTATCAGAGGATCCAGCAAACCAAACCGAAATTTATAAAAAAATACAAGAATTGAGCAAATAATCCACAGTAGTCACAGGAAATATAACTACAAAGTTAGTAATACATTTAAAAGAGCAACTACAAAGTTTTAATCTTGGGTGCAGATGAAGTCATAGATTGTGGAAGCAAATCTTGGAGCAATTTATAACTTGGATCTGAATGTCAAATTGAAATTAGAGCTTTCAAATCATTTCCATGTATGTCACATATTTTGTACCCCGGAGTTTGTAGAAGTTTCTTGCCATTTGGGGGTTTTTGTTTGTGGCTTATAGCTATAGCAACATAGACAATAGAAGCAATTTGTATTTATATAGTGCCCTTCACGCAAGGTAGCACTGAACAATGGTATAGTTTGATGCCAAGCTGAGGAGAAAGGGGCAGTGACTGGTCGAAAGGGAAAGTCTTCAGGTGGTATCTGAAGATGACTAAAGAAGGGGCAAGACAGAGGATTGAGGCAGGGAATTCCAGAGGTTTGAGATGAAGTGGCTGCCGATGGTGAAGCAAAAGAGAGGGATCGAGGGATGCGCAGAAGGCCTGAGTAGGCCAAGCAAAGGGAACGGGTGTAGGAGTGGAGAAAGAGCAGGTTGGAGAGGAAGGGAGGTGCTAGGGCATGAAGTGATTTTTAGGTTAGTGTGAGCATCTTGAAATTGATCCATTAAGACACTGGTGACAACTGCATGGAATTTTTAAAAAATAATGTACACACTGAGGTATGACCATGTTTGGTGTAATCCCTCTATATTATTTTTGGTCAGCCGGGTACCTGACACGCAGAAACCAATTCCCACGCTTAAGAGTATTCAAACTAAAGAGCTCCACATATCTATGCGTAGGGAATTGCCATACATCTAGTCTGAAGTGTGCACCCAATCCCCAAAGGAATGCATTCTGATCACCTAATCCTAGAATATATTAGGAGCAGGTTGGCAAGTGCCAGGTTTGGGGAAACCAATGTGTGGACCAGGATACTGCTGGAGTTTACCTGGTTAAAACTGCACGACCCGCATTCCTAAAGTTATAGAATGCTAATCCTTTCTTACCAGGAAGTAATCTAATTTGTATATATTCTTAAACAATACACTTTCTGAATAAGAAGGAACTTCCTTACCACGATAAATACCATGTTGTAGTCTAAAAATAGCATGTACACAATGCTGGTTATAAAATGCTGCCAATGGGAACGGTGCTATACAAAAGTCATTTGGTGTGTTGTTTGTGAGCACAGAAGCCAAGTTTGTCAAACATTTTTCAGCACGGAGAAGAGCCTCTTTAAAAATCGGTTACAATCTTATTTTAATTGATTCCTTTCTGTGTTCTTTTATAGGTGCTTCGGACCTCGGTGCCTTCTCAGACCATAGGCAATTTGAGCGCCAGTTTGGGCTTTCCTCCCTCACTGAGAGCCGGTTCTCCAATCCCCGCATGCACTATCCAGCCACCTTCACCTACACACCAACTCCAGTTACAAGTGGCATGTCCCTGGGCATGTCTGCAACGACTCACTATCACACCTATCTGCCACCACCCTATCCTGGCTCACCCACCAACCAAAGTGGACACTTCCAGACCAGTACTGCACCCTATCTCTACTATGGCACTTCTTCTGGGTCCTATCAATTCTCCATGGTGGCAGGGGGAGAACGATCCCCTTCCAGAATGCTGCCTTGCACTAGTGCATCCACTGGCAGTACACTCCTTAATCCCAACCTGCCCAATCAAAATGATGGTGTAGACGCCGACGGGAGCCACAGCAGCTCCCCCACTGTGTTGACTTCCACTGGGAGGATAGATGAATCTGTCTGGAGACCATATTGACTCTCTGATTACATAGGAAAGCAGATCAACTACTAGCCAAAGGAAGTCACCATTTAATTAGTGCCTATTGTACAGTTTGTAACTGGAAGCAAATCGTGTCTTATTAAGACTGATCAATGAATGAGCTGGTGAAGACAGTGATGAGCTGATCAGGTTATGCGTATCACATTGCCTATCTGTAAGCTCATGAACAGACGTGATAGCGTATTCAAAACACATGAAGAACGTTTAGCGACTCAACATAACATCTTGTTTTAAAGACGTGAACCTCATGCACAGAATCCAAATCTTGGCAAGTATGTAACTGCAGTAATTTATGAACACGTTCTTACAAACACCATTGATAGTAGCAAGGAAGGTGACCGGCAACCAGAAGGATAAAAGGATTCTAAGTTTAAGGTATTAAGTCCTTCAAAAATAATCACTTGCTTTGTACGTTTTTGTTAATATTGTTGCTGAGAACAATGTCTCCAGAAAGATTAGTGGTACCAATATTGTAAATATATGCACTTGATTGTAACTATGCATAGAGGAGTGTTTTTTCTTGATAGTGAAAGGAATCTTTTTATACATTTCTCTGAAGATCCCCATTTAGTGTACATACAAAGGAATTTTTTTTTATATTGCTCTTCTTCCAAGAATTTCTGTTGATTGAATGTTTACTGCAGATTTAAAGAGGAACGCCAGTCTTTGCAAAATGCTTTTGTGTCTTTCAAACAAATAATTGGCACAACCTTTATTTGTTTCAAACGAGGTGAATGTTATTTGGCTTGGATAAATCTCACTCGATGCCTGTGTTTCTTTTAAAATTGTGTTTACTCTTTAATTGAACGGCTCATTAATGATGACATAGCAATATTAAAATAGTAATGTCTATTTTAGCACCATTATAGTTCAGTATCTGTAGCTTATACTTGAGAAAGGATGTCAGTCATTAGTTTTAGTTGTTATTTGAAAATAGGGTACTTTAATTGAATGACATTTCTCACATATGGTTTTAGAATCCAAATCTAATGTAGTTACTGAATATTTGTGGCTCTATATTGAAAACTAGCAGGATTAAATGGTGACGTTACTTACTTGGAAGTTTACTGGTTATGGCCTTCCAACCACTTTCTATGCAATTGTCAAGTTATTATATAGCATTTACAAATCAATTTACTTGCAAAGTGGAGATTTATCATGTTTTGTTTGGTTACATACTGTCCTGTAATGCAAAATATTTAGGCAAATTAGCATTAATTCACATTTTCTAATATGTTTTAAATCTAAGGGGAGAGGTGCAGGTTCTCTCAAAACAACAGAGGGTTCGGGCCAGATGTTTTGTAACAATCATAACCCACAGCATTATTTATCAGTCTACAAATGATACCTCCTATCCAGCTAGAGTCTGAGTTGAGAGCCCAAAAGACACATCAGCTCTGGATGAGCTATCATTTTTTCGTCATTTAATTTTTGGATAAAATGGGTTTACTGGAATTTTTTTGAGGGGGAGGCAGTAGTAAGAAAATAAACGTTCTCTGACTTTGTAATCAGGTAAATAGAAACCAAATCTAAATGATCGCTGAGGAGTTGAAAAGAGATCTTTTTTCCCCCCCTCCTCTTTCTATCCAGTTAAATGATACATTCATGTACAAATTGCCCAGAGTCAGCCTGGATTCTTGAAGGCAAGATTGCAGACACTTATTTCTTTGAAGAGGTGATGGTCAAATGATGTGTAGTTGAACATGCTTTCTGTGCTACATATGTCCACAAATAGTTTTGATTGAACACATATGGCTATGATAAATGGCCAGAAAAGCACTTTCTATTTGCAGTAGAACCTAATAGCAATTTCCTGTGAATTGGTACGTCATTTCCTTTGCAAAGAACAATAGCTGTAACCTAGGGAAGTCATTCAATGTTCTGATTTATTCATTCTACACACACAGAAAGTGTCTCTTCTCAGCGCAGCTCATGCTGGAGTTCAGTCACATTTTCACTGTGAGTTCCAGGGTACAATGTGATAAAACACAATAATGTAGAAACAAATTGCAGGTATAATTGTAGTTAGAATTGACTTTTCCTTCAAGTAGTGTTACAAACAGAATGTGATTGGGCAAACAATATTAAACATGCTTCAGTAATTATAAATCTACATAAACACTTTTATTTTCTCTCTTTGAATTGACTGTGTCTGCCAGTAAGTCTCTAAAAGGCTTCTGTATATTCAAATCGATTTGATTTCCCACTGAGGGAAAGTGTAGCCAACACACTTCCATGCCACATATTAAGGTACCCAGGTACGTGAGACATTAAAAATGTCATATTAATAACTTAAATAGTTAACTTAAATTGAGTACAAAAGGAGATTTGTAAGTCTCGGTCTTTGTAAATCTAAAAAAAAAGCACAAATTGTACAAAAGCAGTACATTAAAGCAATATCTACATATCCTAGTGCTTCCTCCAGTTGAATTGCAGCCATACCTGTGTTCTTTTCTGAAATTTAGACATTACTATTTTAAGTACGAAATAAAATGTCACATTTATTTTTCAATATTTAGATACAATACTCTTTTTTTAAGAACAACTGTAAAGTTTTCTTGTGTGAAGCATGCATTTCTGGACCCAAGGTTCAATACAGCCTATTTTTCATTAAAGCTGGACAACTTTATTGATATTATTTATTGCAGGTGGTAGCTTGAAGCGAACCACCAGTCTACGTTATATATCTGTACAGGTAATGAATCCAATAGATTTCAGCAGCACTTAAAAAGAAAAAGCAGGTGTCAGGTTACACGACTCAAGATTGAACTGATCAAATCTTACTGCCAGTGCAAGCTGTTACCTATTTAATAAGAGGTACTTTATTTGTTTAATGTAATTTTTATTGCTGAGATGGGCTTTCAAAGATTTAAATATGTTTTTTTATATAAACAAAGTGATTTTTTAGAAGAAAACAAAGCATTCTTTGTCGGGATGTGATATTTGTAGGGCTGCAGGCAGCAAACTTGGGAAGCAAATTTAAGATTTTGTACAGTCGAGCACTTCGCATTACATCCAGATAGATTCCATTATTCAGATTCACTTCTTGACGCGAAGATTTTAATCATCGTTTTTTTTGGACACCAAGAAAAAAAATTATTTGTTGCCTCTCCATTAAGGACAGGCTTTCTCGTGCAGATGCAAACACCTTTCGGGGTTTCAAATAACATTTGTTTCTATGGTACTGACCGCTCAATGAAACAATCATTTATGGTGCCGTTATGTAATGCTTTGGATGATTTACTGTAACCAGAATGGTTAATGGGAATATATGCCTTAATAGACTTAACTGCATGCTTGTCCAGTAATAGGAGATGATCTAAGGCATTATGTAACCCCCCAAAAAGAGAAAATTAGCTTCATGTGACTCGAGCTGCATTGCATAATATCCAACAATACTGCACACTGCCTTATCTGAAACGTTCTAGTCAACTGCGTTTGGTCCATATCATTGGTCAGATAATGCATCGGCCCATTCATTGGTGCTGAGTTACTCTTAAGTGTTTGTTGTCACTGAGTGTTGCTTTTTCTGTTAATTTGTGAGAACAATATTACTGAACCTAATTACCTTCTGAAAGTACATTTAATTCACAGAATACTGCGCATGTGTGAAATGTGTCCAGATATTAATTACCCCCTTCTTCTAAATAACACCTAGCAATGCAATTAGAGATGCAAGTTGAAGTCACTTATAGCTTTGTGCTAGGGAAGGAGTTCATCTGCTCTCCTGCAGACCTTGGGTACTGGGACAGATTCTAAAGAAACAAAAGCCCTGAATCTATCTGTATGGCTGTATTTGCTGAACGTAGCAGCTATATTAATAATTGATAAGCACAATTATGCAGGCAAACCACAGCAGCCAAACTTGAGAGCTTTTCCAGCTGACAGTTACACTGCTAATGTAACCAACCAATATTGATGGGGGAAATTAGGCTTTGCTTATTAATTGTTTACTGGTAAGAACAACAGGTTTTTTGTTTGCTTCCAGTGACCACAGTGTCAGTTGTGTGGGTACAAAACTGTGCAGGATTGAGAAATGTTCTTGAGGTTGAAGCAGTGGAAAGCCACAATTTCTCTGCCGTTACTTAAGTACATTAAATGGCATCAGTGGCCTTTTCAAGTATAATGATTGAATAGGAACTGTTGTGAACCTCACCCATCTCTGAGTTGGTACTCATTGTCTGCAACCCTGAATTCTCTTTGCAAACTCCATTTTAAAAAAAAGGCTCAACACATATTTCTTTTTTATATAATTTCAGCAGTTTGCGATAAGGTTCATATTTTGTATACTTCTAGCTTGTGATTGTAAACATGAAATAGAAATCCTTGCTTTCTAATGTAATTATTACATAGATATTTTGAACTCCATAAAAAAACAAAAGCATACATTTGTTTTCATTTGTTTCTAGTTTATGTATGCAAAAACAGACAGCGTTCTGCAGTTTGGATTTGAAAAGTATGTCTACACTTCTGCTTTTTTTGTATAAATACAAGCTTTTGATTGCTGTTATTCAATAATTGCTTTGCACTGAACATACTGTACAAATGCATTTTGTTTCCAAGCCATTGCCATCATCATTGATTATGAATCACTTTGCTATGTCTTAAAAGGGAATAATGCTAAGGTCGTGGGTTTTTTGTGTCACAATATCGCAGAATTCCTTGTCTGGCATTTTATCATGATTGTAACATTGATTTAAGTTTGAATTTCATTCTCAATAAAATGGCATTTTCTATTAATTTTGCATCAGTGTCCTTTGATCATTTGAAGAAATCACAAAGGTTACACAGCCCCGACTTTTACAGATGCAGAGCTAAAGTGCCTCCTGGATCTTTTGGCGAGACTTTCTATGGACCTTACACAAAATGGTTAGCTCAGCTCAGGCACAGAGTCACCAATTGTGACGTGGTGGAAGAATTGAGTAATACAGCAGCTAGAATTCTAAATCCACATCCTTCAAAACATCGGGACCCTTCAGTAGGGGGTCAACGGCTATCAGGCACTGGGATCCAATTTTCATTTCATTGTTTTAAAAGTACAAATCAGTTAATATTTACTGAAAAACATGAAGATTCTCAAAGTTTACACTTTGGATGCCAAAGGTGCACATTTCTGCTGGTTCATAACATTACTTTGTTTAACAACTTTCATCAGACACATTAAAAACAAAATGGTGTCAATATGGCATTATTCTCAGTATAAGCAATCGCCGAAAAGATTAGTCACAAATCCTCTTCCGATCTCTGTGGCCTGATGTGGTGAGTGAGATGTAACTAACCATCTTACAACACATAACATACACGTGAGCTCAAGTGAGGATGGTCAGAAACCAGTCCAGGTTCCTTCCATTAATTGTAATTGATTCAGGCATAATCTCCATTAAAAGATGTCTGATCAGGTGCATACTATTCATTCTCACAGTCTCAATTTGAACAGTTGCAAAATAAATGCTTCCTTCACTGTCTGGTTCCTTGGTTTCTTTATGTGGGTGGGTAAAGATCATCATGACAGATGTTATAGATTGTGCACATGGGAGGAATTCCCAGGATTTTGTGCCTACATCAGAACTGTCTTTATATCAGTAGTTCCAATACAATGGGAATAACTCTAACAAACACCTTGGAAACTTAAGAACATAGGAACAGGAGGAGACCCTTCGAGCCTGTTCTGCCATTTAATTAGATCATGGCTGACCTGTACCTCAACTAATCCTTTCAATTCCAATTTCCCACTTTCTCCCCATATCCCTTAATATCCTGAAAAATATTTTGGTACTATTACAATTTAAATGTATTTATTATACATAATCTTAATAATCCTATATGCAATTC